CTCTCTCTCTCTCTCTCTCTCTCTCTCTCTCTCTCTCTTTCTCTCTCGCACCCGACAAAGTGCAGGTGATATCCAGAACCGGCGTTTCTTTTCCCGGGGAAATTAATGCAAAACGCTTGTTCCGAAGGAGAATAGCGCGAACAGCGCTCCAGCAACGCGATCTCATATTTATTCGACACTTTTGCGCGACCCACACTCCAGTCTTTGCGCACTTTACAGGAAGATACTCTTCGGAGGATGACAAGTAATAGCGGCGGGTAATAGCACGTGCTTCAAAACGGTAGTTAAAACGAAGCGGCGAACCGTGACACGTGGCGATTGCGTGTGCAGCTAGTTATTGAAATCGACCTTTACCACTTGCGTTTTGCTCGTAAATGCCGCAGTGTGTATAAACGTCGCGTTACTCGCGAAGATTATCTATGAATTGCTTTATCTATTCCTAAAGGTAGTCCTATAAATTATCAACTCGTGTTTTCGACGAGCCATTTGTCCAGATATTTTTAATTGAACAAAACACATTAGATTGTCTTATAAAAATAACAATTTGCAAAGAAATGATTGTATATTTTCATAAAAATTATATCTGTAATATAATAATGAAATTTGATCGCAGTATTTTAAGTTAAACGTATTAAATATAATTTTTCTAAAGTGCATTTGTCATTCCTGCTTTGATTTCGATTTAATTCACATTAAGCTTTATTAATTAATTGAAGCCTGTATCATTTACAGATGTGTATATCGTAATATCGTATATAACAGAAAAAGAGAAATCAATTTAATATATTGATAAATCAAACGCGACATAACTGGCCAGAAGTTTTTAGTTGCCTTTGAAAATTTCAGTTTTATCGAAAAGAATTATATGGTATTTTTTAAAGAAACGGAACCAACGAAGCGTTTGATGCGCCAAACATTTCGTTTTCCTAAATGCGAACTCAAAGATATGAAAGGGATCAAAGACGCGATCAGCAGTTGTGTCAAAGCAACGATAGAAGGAAGCAAGGAACGAAAGAGATTTCGTTCGCTTGAAACGAAAGAAATCGACTAGCATGCCTCAGAAAATAGAAGGAGAAGCGAAAAAGGCACTACGCGTATAGACCTTTTCCCTTATGTCTCAGAGAGGGAGGTTGAGAGTTGTAAGTCGGTGGGTTTAGAATCGCTGAATAAAGAGCCGAAGGGTTGGAAAGGGTTGGGCGCCAAAGTTGTCCGTGGAAAGCGGCTCGCTCGGCCGCAAACTCGATAAAGTTGCGAGGCGCGGCACTCGTTGTGTATACGGGACGAGACGAGACGGTACAGGACGGGATGCGGGATGAGACAGGAGGAGGAGTCGTCTCGCGCTGCTTCCGCTTCCGGTAGTCGATGGCAGACGCGGAGTTCGCGATAGTGAAGTGGAAGGAACGACCGGGAGAAAATCGGATTTCCTGATGCGCAATACGAGTTACGCGTCCGTCGTCGAATCTGTTTCACGGGCTGTTTCCTTGCGATTAAAAAAATCGCGAAGCGTGCGAGTATAATATAGAATAGTATGATAAAAAATTAAGTTTTGCATTATTTATCCATTAATTATTATCCAAGTTACACTCTTGTGACTTATTGTTTATTATCTTAAGAATCAAATCTTTGATTAATTCTAAAAATAAATTTTTATTTAATCTCTTTAATTAATCTCTGGCAATTTAAAACTCACATATTTTAATTTTAATGTATCCAAAGAATGTTGATATTCTGATCACATATTGATTAAAAAAAGATTGGACCAGATTAATTAAAAAATGCTTTGAAGCTAAAATTCTATGTCTCATTTATACAATACAGTATATGATAGAAGTAATTCTAAAAGATAACGACTCTAACTTTGTATGAATATAAAATAGCAGTTTTGACACTTCGTATACATTTTATAGTTTCGAATATATTGTTTTGCTATATCTGTCAAATCGTATCATCGCATACCTGGCTGAGATGCGTCACGTGGCTCGCCGCGTAGTAACTGGCTCTGGAACCGCATGGCCTCGCATACAGCGGCTCGAGGTCGGCGATAGTAGCGTAACTTCCGGAATTCGCACTTCCGGGTCGTGGGTCGACTCTAACTAAAACGGAACTCCTGGCCAGGCCACCGGTGTCGGCCGCGGAGTAACTGCAGCAGGGCAGAGTTTTCCTGAAAGGACGAAAGGATCTCTGTAGCAGCACGATTGTTACAACCCGGGTTAATTATCGTTACAATGGCGCGAGACGCGTTGTCCCGTAAAAGCAGGAGCTCGAATAATTGCGGGAGCTCCGGATTCCACTGCCACAATGAGACGATTTTGCTGAAACAAATTTTAACGCTGCGCAAAGTCCACAAATCCAGGAATTCGCCCACGATTTTGGTCGACGCGTCACCGAGAGGATTATTTTAGTCGATGATCTTCGTAGTGTGTTTTCAAGTAGAAAATTAAGCTTTTTCAAATTCATAAATATTATCTCCTTTTACGTTACAGCCAATCATCCGACAATAATTATATGATTATAAATAGAGTTTAGTTACAATTGTAAGAAGGATTTCGTTAAAAATAATGCCACGTATAATTCAGATTTGTTATAATTTTATTGTTGAATACATTCGATGCTTCAGAAACATGTATAAGGTTTCGTTGTTATAGGATCACAAAATCTACACCGTAACCACTAATTTAACTGCTTTAATTTCGCCTGGGGATCACCGCGTAATAGGCTCTTTTAGCAAGCTTTCCCCCGGGAGGCTACTCAGGCAGCAATATGTCGAGATAAACGCGATTCAAATTACAACATCATTTATAAGATAGACGGTCACTTTACAAAGTCCGACGTATACATTTCTCTCATCAAAAGATAGAAAGGCATAAGTGGGAAGAACGGTGCATTATCATATTTCAGAGTACTCCATTCCGCGCCCTTTACATAACCGTCAACGAGGAATTATCTTCGACAAGAAGTTCCTCGAGTATTCACTCTCTATCTTTAGCTAGGAGGATTTACATCTCGACCCGGATGAGCTCTCGAAAAGCTCTAAATGATCCTCTCTTTCTCTCTGTCTTTCTCTCCTTCGTATCATCAACGATCTTCCACGAGAAGACGTATCAATTCCATTTTACCTTAAAGAACCGTTCTTGTATTCTTGAAATTTAATCGATTGACTTTTAAATTCATATTATATTTCTATTTTGAATTGGTGATTTAATTTTTCAATTGTACTTATTTTGACTTGTTTTTTTTTCCATAATGTAGGATTGACTATTTAGATATAAATATAATAGCTTTAATATTTCTCTCTAAAAACAAAAATATATTGTTTAAATGAATTAAAATAAAATGAAATAAAATATGATGTAAAAAATAAAATAGAGTATAAGAATTTTAAATATGCGATATATTCATCTATAAAAAGTATCTATAAAAAGACAATGTGAGTCTAGCACGTTGTCAGTGCAAAACTAATCATTATTAATAATGCTTTTGAAGCTTTCACGGATATTACCTTTAAAGATACCAGAAGGTTTGCGGATTATCATGTTTTTATTCATTGCTAATGCCAATATTTTGTGAACCTTGACGTTCACTTCATCAGCGCTCCTCGCCCTGATGACGTGAACGTCAAGGTTCACGAAATATTGGCATTAGCAATGGATTTTAAACACGGCGATAATCCGCAGACATTATGATACTAATTATTATTAACAATTTAATTTACATAAATGCTTCCGAACATTTAGATTCTCACAGAATCATTCTCAGTGGACAAACGACTTACAATGATTTTCTTTACAATCAGTCTTGTTTCCATTCGTCAGTTAATCTAACACAGTATTTAACTGACGAATGAGAACATAACTGGTTGTAAAGAAGATCATTTATAAATGTGAATTTATTCGTTTGAGTCTCTTTAAAGACTTTGTTAATTTTTAAATATGTACTAGTAATAACAGAAAAGAATTTTGGTGATATGTATGCGTTTCCAGAAACAGAAGCAAAGAAAAAGAAACACAAAGGAAAAGACGGAATGACGACTGAAAAATATCAGCTAGAAATAGGAGAGGATATTTTTAGAGATTTATTGGCCATTTTGTGCATGTAAATCTGCCGCCGAACGAATTCGCTAAAAAGACGAACGACAGAAAAACGCGTACAGCCATCGATTTCAAATATCCCCCGTTCGCTCGTTCGTGCCCATTTATTTTTACGCGACCCTTACGGAAACGTTTCGCGGCCAGATCGACTTCCGACGAATCCGTCTGTGCCTGTGAAAGCAAGCCCTCGCCTCGCCAGGAACAGAAACGTTAAAGTGTCGTTCGGAAAGTAATATCACTTTTGTAACTCGCGAGCAAGTATTTGCGTTGAAATTTCCATAGATTGAAAATTTATGGCGAAACCGATGACGTGTTCGCCACGATATTATCAGTCCTAAGGAGAGCTAACTTTTAATATAAGTTATCAAAAAAATATAACGGCGCACGCGAATATTTTTATGTTATATGTATATTCTGATATTTATTACGGAAAAGCTAATCGAGTCAATACTGAAATACAAAAATAAACATCTCATCGGAGGGAATCGAAAAGTTGGAAGACTGCAGCAAAGTCTCGACGTGAGTTTCGCGAGTGGCGTAACTCCTAAGAAAACTTTTCGCTGCTTGCCGAATCTCGAGAAGGCGCCTTTCGTACATCGTGCAGTTCGATGCAGTAAGGAGGGCTTACGAGAGACGAGGGTGGCCGTGTTCGTTCGAGCGTACGGATGTAAAATCTGCAGTTTTATCCGCCGGTGAGGGTGTACGTGAAACGTAGAGACGTAAGAAGAGCTAGGAGGAAGACAGACAGAGAGAGAGAGAGAGAGAGATCAAGGAAAGCAAAGAACCGTCGTTTCTTCGCGTGTTATCAGGGTGGGGAGCCTCAAAAGAGCTAATATATTCCGGGACTCTGAGAGAGACAATTGGCCTATTGGGAGGAAAGAAGAGCGAAAGATGATATAAAATAAGGGTGCGTCCCTCCCGTGAATTCCTTATAAAGGCCACTTTGCCATGCGATAAATATTTGATGTCTTCCGATGCGAGATCACATTGTTACGGATGATCGCGTTCGATCGCATTCGCATCACGCACCAACCAATTGCGTGTTGTTTGTTCGAGCGAACATCTGTTGCTTTCTTTTTCGTATGCTACGGTCAGTGCCGCCATGGTGGGATTTCAATTCTGCGACAGATCGCCGGGTAATATTTCAATCTCTCGTAAAATAACGTCGGAGTTAACGTAATATATTTTCCTATCGTTGCGTTTCCGCGTAGTCCGATATAGAGATTGTTTAAAACAACGAGAATCAAGGGGGAAGGATAGATATCCTTTAAAGGTAATTATAGTAGGTAATCTAGCGAGTATTTATAATGAAACATTATTTTCTATTGCTTTATATCTGTATCAAAAAGTTTTCTATCTCTACGATGATAATTAAATTTTTTAAATAATAATGTTATTAATTATCATGGAAGAGAAAATCTGTGCAATAAGTATTTCATATAAATACGAAATAAATGTGTAACAATACACACACACACACACACACACACACACACACATACACTAGCAAAATTTGTAGAAAGAACAAATCCCTCTCCTTACCATTTAACGAGAAAAATTCGCAACGGAGAACATCAAAAGAGCTAATAAATATCCGGGTAAAAGACAATTCTCCCTCTTTGAGACAAATAGGGGAAGGGAAGGAAATGGCAGTAAAGTGAAGCAAGAGTAGCTTTGTTTCTATCCTAATTCCCTGGCAGCATGGTTTCTATCTCATTCAAGTTCCTCGATTATGCACCTCGAAATAGAGGCACTGGAATGGAACATTCGATGTGCTAAAGTATAAAATAATTACAGTGAAAGTAACGATCGAACTTTAAAGGCAGGCGGATAGAAGTTTTCGCATAATATTCATCGTTAATGAGGGGAATGGCGCTAGAATGGCGATCCGCTCGTTTAACGAGAAAAATTCATGATGAGGATTTTCAGAGGGCTCAATATATTCGGGCAAAGACAATCAGTAGACGGGAAAACGAGGGGCAATCCTATTAAAGGATAAAAAAGGATTTAAAAATAATAAAACATGGAAAAATTAGAAACATGCATAAAAGTTATTCTATCTTATCATAATGAAAATTTATGCTGCATGAGCATAAAATAAGAAAGACTGTAGTATATTTTCGTACTTTAAATGGAGAACAGAATAAAAATGTATAAAAAAAAAGACTGAAAAATTTTTACGAATGTTAAATCTATAGTGTCTTTTTTTGTACTGTCATTTTATACTAAAACAATGGTTAAATTTGACACTGTATATCAATTTAACGCTATATAATGTCAAATTGATTGACTGCATAATTTATTTAACAATGTGTGTAATGTTATAATAATTAATGTGATCTCAAGAAAAATCGAAAACGTTATTAATTTGAGTAAAATGGTACGATAAGTCTACTTGAGATTCAACTTGTGCATGTACGCGGTAAAGAGCGGTCGACGAGCAAAAAAGAAAACAACGAATATGGGAAGAGAGGTAAAAGCGGATCCTCTCGACCCTTCTAACATCCTCCTTACATTCTCTCTCGCCGAAGATCCCAGATACGAGAAAGGGGGTGCGCATAGCTATGCAATAAAATGTCGGCTGCCGTGCCAAGCGACCGACGGATCACCGGCGGCTTATTGAAAGGATATTTCATTCGGACGAGTTCCTCCTATCCAGCTTATCCACGCGAATTTCCCGCGGGGGTGCGGAAATCTTTCTGTCGCTCTCCCTTTGCACCCCCCTCGACTGGTTTTGCGGTCGCAGCGTCGAGTACGTCTCTCGTGCTCGGCAGAAAATTCAGGACGACGTCGCGAAATTCGCGCCCGCGATACTTTTCGCTTGAATGATTTCGCCGAAAATGAGAGCGCCGCGCGGTACATAGAAAATCCGCATTTACGACGCGTCTTACGGCGACGTCTTACGTAATGAAAATCTTTTCCTCGAGCATTTATTTTTGTGTGCGACCGAGCGCGCGATCTTTAGAAACGCGAATTTAATAAGCGACAAAACGAGAAGTCGGATGGCGGTCCACGTTATTCCATCGTGTCGCTTTCTTTCTGTCGCGGACGTCGCTCGGAAAACCGCGTTTCACTGGTAACGTGTTTTTGCGAATTTATTACTATCTCGTTACTTGTGTTTTACTACTACGTTTTTAATATAATGTGCACATCTTGTTAATTCTAAAGAAGCAAAGATTAAGATAAGGAATTTACGGAACTGAGCCATTCATCGCTGGCTTGTATTTGAAAAACCTTTTGTTCTTTTAGAATGGAATTTCTCAGACTTCCCCATCCTTTTAATCTGGGCTGTTTAAATGCGAAAACGGGAGATGAAGATGCAACAACATTAAATTTGCGGTACTCAACTAAATGCTTAATCTTGTCAATCAAAAATATTATTCACTGATAAAATTTTACTCACTGAGATTCTTGAACTCGCGCTTTGCTGTTGCGAATGTATAACGCACTGGCAACACTGCCGACGACCAAAATTAAAGCGCAAGCACAGGTAGCAGCGATGTAGAGTGCACCGGCACCATTCGCGAGTGGATCGGGTTCCAAACGCACCGAATCATTGCTGGGAGGAGTCTCGACACCTGTAAATACAAATCAGCGCTGTTAAATTTATAATGTCAAATTATACCCATAATTTGAATTATTTTTAATCATGTCATTTTCGCCACTGTTCAATATAAATTTGATTAAAACAATGCAGTTAAACAATTTAACTCAAGAAAATAAATTATATTTGAATAAAATTTAGTATTTTATTATTTACTGAGTGTATATATGTTAATATATTTATTTTGAAACAGCCACAGAAATGGATTTATTTACATTTTAACACATATGGAAGTTAAACATAACAAAATATTATTTAACTCTTAATTAGGGATTGGATCGCTATTGTTCTTTTGAGATTTAATAGTGGGTAGTTAAACTTTTTTTTTTCATGCGTATTTTATATCTTACGCAGTCTTGTTAACAAGAATAAAATGGACAAAGTATTGCTTCGTTCAACAAATTTTAGTTATTGTTATAAATAAATTGAATATAATTAAATTAATTAAAAAAGAAAAACAATATTGATTTCATTTTTCCGGAAATAAATTTTCCAGTGTCGAACTGAAGTATATCTGTCGAGTTTTAATTTGCCAAAGAGCAGGTAAATAATATGTATGACATAAACAACGTCAATATGTAATTTAATTTGCCTTTAATTTTATTTTATTTTCAATAAAAAAATAACTGATATCGCAATTCGCGTATACCCTCTTCACATTTTGTTCAACGGTTAAGTTTTTATATTCATATTCGATCTGCAAAACTCGCATGGCCACCATTATAGTATCGGCAATCCATTTTGTCAATTGGAGCATTGGCACTCAAACCACGTGCTCGAGATCCGAATCTATCGGGTGAAGCCCTTGGACACTGATCGAGCTATTGTTTATACGTATTGCAGTACTATCGAACGGGTGGGAATATCGACGAACTATGGAAAGTGCTCAAAGAGCTCTCACTTTGATGGCGAATCGTTGCCCGCAAACCACGAATTTTCCAGCAAGTATAGCCACCATCGCGATTTCGTTCGATTTACTTTTATCTCGCATAGCAATTTCTCACACGCTATGGTTATGTGCCACAGGTATTAACCATTTTATCTCGTTGGATTGTTATTCTTAACCACAAACTGCTTAAGCTACAAATAGCATTTAAATTTAATACGTTTCAAATCCTTCCTATATTTAACATTTTATTCGTTCGGAAAGGAAATTCTATCTGATATTGGAACACTACCTTATTCTCTCATTGTCACTTTACAGTTAGATTTAAATATAAGATTTGTAAGTTCACTTTCTATATTAATTATAATAATTGATGAAGACACTCTGTGAGCCGAAAAGTATTATATATCAGATTTGCTGTTTTATTAAATGATTAAAAAGAATCTACATATTTAAATATCTTATTTGCTCATCTCATAGTTCGTTTTAAATATTGATATTTTGTTTTGCAAACAAATAAGCTTATATGATTGTTTAAGATTTTATTATTTTTTATATATAAAATTCCGAATTTTTAAATTTATATTTTGATCGTAAAATCCATAGAATATTTTCTCAAGTACTTTTACATCACTCGTCACTCGGGTTTCATGAATTACATTGTGATGCGATTTCATGGAGATGTTACTTTATTAAAATACATGTCTCATAAGAAATCTCAACGAATTAGTCAAACTCAGTTGGCGTTTCTCTCGTTTCTCGCGGGGAAGTCTGAAAGGACGAGTTTGTCGAGACTTTTTCCTTCGTTGCATCACGCGTTTACATTTTCCCGCCGGTACTTCGCTTTCTGATATTTCTTTTCTCTCTATCCTTTTGTGCACGTTGCGAGAAGAAAAGACTCGGATCGAACGGGCGGCGCCTTGTCGTCTCTTATAAAGGTAAATAACGTGGCCTAGACGGAGGAACTTTAGCGCGAGGGCTCAAAAGCTTTCAAGAACCAAGCACGTCAGCCCCGACTAGGATATGCCGAGGAAAGGGACGCATCCTTTCGGAGCGTCATGATAAAATTAAGTAAACTCCATCAACTCTTAACTCGTCCCCGAGATTATAGTGTCGCATAATCCCTAAATGCATTCCTTCATCGGCATGGCCTGTCTGAAATCTAAAACAACTCTTCGTTCTCAGCCAACTTATTTTCTTATGTACACCATAAGCGAGTAAGGTCGCCATTATCACATTCTATTTCTCTCCTCGTTTACAACTCGCGCGTAAGTAATTATTTCTTACACAAGATATATATCACAGAACTGTCATATCTCTTTATACAAATTCCTAGTTTATACTTTCCTCCTTCAATTTAATGGAAATTTTAATTACGAGTCTTGACTTGAAATTTGTTAGTATTCTCGCTCTCTTGTGTTTTGCTGAATAAAGGCTGAAAATATATGAAACGTTCTTAAATTTTAGGAAATGTTAATGCCGAACCTTTTTTCATTGCATTTTCAATAATCAAAGCTGAATGCCAGGTTCTAACAACAAAACATTCGTACATTTTTCTTCTATTGTTATTTGAAAGCTGCAGCTTTTTGTTACAGAGCAATCTCATTCGAGTAAGTAACGTTGGTTACTGAAATAAAAAAATCCTACGATGTACTCTCTGAAATGTTCGTTAAGCTGTAGGTCGTAGTGTAGTCTGTAGTGCATTAAAAGTACGCATTGCTTGCGGCGTGAGAAAATTCCACCTCGGAAATTAAGACTTAATATAATACATAGTCATTATAAAATTCTTCTTTCTACAGATAAGAAAACAAGAAACCGTCAGAGATTAAATAAATAATTTATTGATGCTATGTTGAATTATTAATATGTACTATATTTCAAGAAATATCATTTTTTATACATTTTCATTTTTATTATAAAATATTCTGCGATCTTTATTTTAATTTAATCTTTCGATTAAAATTTCGTCCATATACAGCTGGAGAATATTTTGTATATTACATGTTTCAAATTCTTATGTTCATTAATTATTGTACTTTATGATATTACAGAAGTGATTGATATTTAAATGTTTAAATAATTGTGCAATATATATATTTTTTTCAATTTGGATTTTATTTGTTTTACCGTTGCATCACCGCTTTTTCATGTTTTTATAAAAATTGTAAACGCAGTTTTCTAATGAATACATTACTGGTTGCAATAAAGTATAATATTTAACTTATTTTTTCTCCCTCGCTCATTTCCTTGTTTCATAAAGGACGGAAAAAAGCTTCTTGCCTTTGCTAAGATAACGTAAACCAAGCAGGTTGCATGATAGCCGAAGTAGAGCATCGCGAACACGAGTTACGAAGACGAGCAAGACGAGAAGGAGTTAGCTCGAGCGCGATGAGACGTGCGCAGGAAGAAAAAGTTAAATAAATCGTAGCAGTCTTCGGCGGCTGTGTACTGTAGTTTCTCAGGGGCAAAACTCGCATCGTTCCTTTGCACGGAGTCCTTCCATCTTTCTAAAATGTTCCTCTCACACGCTACGACGCGTCCGAAATACAAACAAGTATCTTTGAGAGATTTCTACAATTTCTGCGAAAGAATTCTAGAATTATATAACTATGTCAGATTTCGCAATATATATTTCTTGGTACTTCCCGTGATATCACTAGCTTCTCTGAACACACATTACGTTATAACTCGGTTTTCTTTTACAATTTGTAATCTATTACTAGTTTTACTGTTTACGTAAGATTGCTGTACCCATTATGTTTTTATGGCTTACACTGTTAAATTTATGTCAAATTATACCCAATTTAAATCTTTTTTAATTATTTCTATATCGTCATTGTTCGTATTCAATATGTAATTTAATTAAAATAATGGAGTTGAACAATTTATCTGAGGAAATATATTAAATTTGACTTTAATTTAGTTTATTATTTATTAAGTACATACATTAACATGGACGTTGTTTATTTTGAAACTAGCAATAAGCAAATCAAACCAAGAAATGGATTGATTTATATTTTTATACGTATAAAAGTTTAAAGTAACAAAATGTTATTTAACTCGAGGGATGGGATTGCTTCTGTGATTCTTTATGAAATATCATCGTGTAACAGATAACGTAATCTTCATTTTATACGATGGTTCGAAGCTATCGTAACAAGGATAAGTAATCGATCATGTTGCTCAAAGTACTCGAAGAACAGTGGAGTACCTATCGACGTAACTTAGCGCAAGCGAGACGCGCGCCTTCGAAACTTCGAGACTTAAGAGCGACTACGGAGTCAGGAAGGCGTGTTAAGAGCGACTGCGTATCTCAATTAAATCCGGGCGAGCTATGCTATCTGCTACCATCAAACAGACCTTAACCGAGATTTACGGAGGCCCAGAATTAAGTCTCCGGAGGATTAACAGGATGACCCTCCACGAATCGCATTCCCTTATTCGCCACGAGCTCTGTGGACTTTAGAAACAAATTTGGTCATGCTGAGAGGCTTACGTAAATCACAGAATTGCGGTCTTTTCAAGCATCACGCTATATGTATGCTTATTTTATGTTGTGGAATGAAACATTTCAATTTATCGAAAACAATTTAGAAAAAGAAAATATTGCGCTCACGTATGTTGAATATTCCAAATCTAGGATTATGTCAGATAAAATTTTTTTACTAGCGTCGCTTTCGTTCGAAATATTTTTTTCGATACTTTTCACATAGTACACACTCACGCTTGCAAAACTTGCAAAAAATACTCGATAATTCAAAACGTCAACATTTTTCGAACATATTTGAGATGTAAAATAATTTGAATATTCGAATAAACAACGTAAAAATCTGAAAAAATAGAAAATGTCACGTATTGAAAACGATGTATACTGTCGTTTCAATATATATATACATATAAAAAAAAAGTAACACTTAAATACGCTTTCAGTCCGTTAGATTTGTCGAAGACTGAAACCGTAGATATTAGAGTAGCTAGAAGTTGAGGATTAAGAGAATCAGTCTAGATTACTGAATCTTTTATTTTCGATTTGACAGCGGATTCTCAAATACATATATATATATAGAATTCTGGAAAATACAAACACATCGAGTATAGGGTCTCCATATATAGAGAATTCGATTATTTCTCAAGTGAGATCTCGAGGTGCTTTCAGATTGCAGCAGGACCTCTCGAGCTCGAGACGATCGCCGAAGGACTCGTCAGAGCCCGGCTAGTACTTTGGCGATGCGGGAGCGAACGAGGAAGAAGCAAATTCGACAAAGCAGGAAATCTGCTCTTGCGGGACGCGACTAAGGTCCTCACCGCGGAGGCGCTTACTTATTTTCGTCCTTCTTCCTGCCTTTCTCGCGCACCTCTGTCCATCTACTTCGTTTTTCTACGCGGCCGACCCTCTTGATCTTCAGCGAGGGTGGGATGGATCTTCTGCCTTCTCTTCTCTTTCATTAAATACACCGACCCCCGGCGAGATTCAATTTTACTCGGTGGATTGCTTTTTGTTGTACCGTCGCCTGCTTCGGTAACCGGATCCGGATCTGCGCTGCTTTCTCTCTCTCTCTCTCTCTCTCTTTCTTTCTTTGCTGTTTCTTTCCTTTCCTATTTCTTTTTCTTCTTTTGTCTCTTTCTCTTTATTGTCGCTATTCTCTGGCGTCGGGTTGTTTCCCGTATATATCGCGTAAACGCATGTATTTTCCGACACGAGCAATATTCAATTACACTACGGTGTGTAGTTACTTGAATGTTCGCCAAGTTTTACGATAATTGTACGTAACATATAATTAACATGATAGTAACGTAATATAATAATAAAAGTAATTAATTAAAAAATCTCTATTTGATTTTTGATTTCATATTTATTTAATACTCTTTATATAGTTTGGAAAATGTAACGCAAAAAATTATTTTCAATTTTAAAATGCATTTCTTTCATATTTTTCTTATCCGATGAAATCACCTTTTTTTTTTTATCGGAAATCAATATTAGTTTTCTTCTCATATTTTAAAAGAAAAAATAAAAATTAAAAAAATATAAGTAATAGCACTACTTTTCACCATGGTTCTGATTTAGTTGCTTGCGGAACTTTTATCGAAAGCTGCATGCAAAATTCGCTTTAGTCACACAAAATCTGATATAGAGTATTGATAAATTATTATGGGGCGCGAGAGGAACGAAAATCAAAGTTATTTGCCAGATTGCATTCATCGCTGCTGCGTGGCTTGTTTTTTCAGGAAACATACATTTTCGAGGTCGCATGAGGTTTGCGGAGACGAGAGAGCTGCCTGTGAAGTACCATGAGTACAAGCTTACGAGCACCCTTGTCGGAAATGGTGCGGAAATTACGTTTGTACCCTCGCCCGAGTCCGTTATTTCCATTTCTCCCACATAATGTAAACTGAACGTATATTTTATATATATATATATAAAATTTTATTATTTAATCATAATTACTTAAACGACCGTAATTTGCATTGCATTTATAATACGATGACATTTATTTAGGAAAACCCCCAAGATTGACGTATATTTCGAGTTTGCTATAAAATAAATTACTACTTGGAAATTGTAATCACCAATAATTGTATTCCATTATATTATTAAAAATATCGCATATATATTTTATATCCTATCAACTGCAGCAGAATATAAGCTACTTCTCAATAATACGTCGTCATATCAACGTGGTTAGCTCGCAGCTGCTTTATTTTGCATTTCAAAAACAGTTGTTGTTATTCTTTTCATCGCATTATAAACATTTAACATCACGACGTCAAAGTTATCAGTTCGGAGCAGAGTTTATAAATCGCGTGGATAAATTGAGTTTGCGCGTGACGCGAAATGAATGCGCGTTTCTGTTTTAATCGCGACCGCGTCGAAACTGTCTCGTCGTAACGAAGATATTCAACCGGGTTCGCGAACGCGCTAATTAAATCCGAGATTACGTAAACGAAATAATTATCAACAGACTGCAATGGCGTTAAAGTGTAGATAAACAAAAGCGTGTTTCATTGCAAACCGCTTGCATAGCAGGACATTCACAAGCGAGTAACGTATGTTATATAGATTACAAAGCTTAAATAGTATTACCCTTTGAAATGGATCTTCATATAATACACTGTAGATCAATATCGCCATTGAAAATAACAAGGCACAGAAATCCCCACAAACCAGCGTGATATTGTAACCATTAATTAACGTGTTTCATGAATTATTAAAAAATTTATTTAATTTATACAATTTTGGATATTGTATTGTATTATAACAAAATTTATTGATTAATTAAGGGGGATGGGGATTATGTGGTTATTAAATAAATATAAATCTGAAAGATAGGGAGAGAGCGAGAGGAGGAAGAGAAAGAGAATCGCATAAACATTATTCAGAACCGAAAAGAGGAGTTACAATGTTAATTACGCCAGTAAAACGCCACTAAGCGGAAGAGTTAAATAATTCACACTTTAGCGTTTTCATATTTTAAGTGAGACAAACAGCGCGCGTCTCGTTATGATTTTTTCATGGATTCTGAATAAAACAAGCGGAAGAAAAAAACGAGTTCCTTCAACGCAAAAAAAATCATATCACAGGATCCGGATCTAATTGTCGGTTAATGCGTGGCTACCATGAGAATCGTGGGATTTCAGATCGTATGTAAAAAAAATTCCATGCGTAAGAATAATGAAATAAAGATCCCGTGTTTTCTCATGTACGAGAATAATAAAGTGCGGTTAGTCCTTGTGGACATTTTTTAAAATTATCAAAGCGATTGTTTGCAAGCATAAACCCGATGGCATGTACAAAAAATGTAAAGCAAGACATTAACAGTAAGAAAATCTTAACATTGGATTGGTCAATTAGCTTACTGCTTAAGTCTTACTGTCTTACGTTTTTGCATGTGCCATGGGCTTAACCCACGTCACGCGCGAAATGCCGCGAACACCGCCGATAGTTGGATGCACCTGCACGTACCTTTCAAGCAGATCTTGTTCCTCTTGAAGACCAAGACGGTGTCATTGTACCTGGTACCGGGTGGCGCCGTGACATTCAATCTAAGCGCTAAAGGAATTTCGGCGCTAACGACACCCGAACACGGTAATCTGATCCTGAAAACCTGCAGAGTGACCGGCACCTCGCCTTGGGCAGACACGTTCACCCTTGGTGGTAACAACGCCATCATCCCAGAAGATGGTCCACCTGGTACGCCCACCACATCATAATCCAGTTCCATCGAATATCGTAACTGAAAAGGAAAATGTCCCTCAAATAATTTGACATTCGGCAGACAGAAATCTTATATACGTACATTGCTATTACATTGCTTTGTAGATACAGTTTTTCTCTCTAAAGCACACTTTAGACGATTTATAATTCGCGCGACTAAATTCAAGATAGAATTCTACTTATAATTTTATGTATCGGATATTCTAAATATAAATGTATATCCTGATATATTTGTGTAAATGTGAATTTTACTTCTTCAATCGTTTCTGTGTTACACGATGCGCCAAATTAAAAATAGAATTTTGTTCCGAATTAGGTCGTAAATTATAAATCGTTAAAGTGCGCTTAAAATATTTTTATAGAGTCTTACTCTTGAAGATTGAAAATTGCGCCACTCTTTTTCAAGACCGGCTCAATTTTCGCTCTTTAGAGTGAGATTTACTTAGAAAATTAAGGTAGGTTAAATTCTTAAAAGAAGTCATTTACGCTCGTGTTTCAACGCAAACTTTCTCCTCGCGCGCCGATATTTCGTACTGGAAAGGTATTCCGGTTATCGTCCACCGAACGATATGCTGGCACGTAATAAAAATAGCGCGCGGCGTTCATAACTCATGAAAATGCCAGACTCGCGGTCCCTTCTCGCGGCCACCACATATACGATTGCGCATATTAACGTTATAGATATATGAATATATATCGCCGTCGTATCGGTAGGCATGCGATATTTCACATTAAATCCCGCACGTCGGTCTATTCGTATTTACTGCCGCCTATCTCGTAACCTTCGAGTCCGAGTCGAGCGAGTCCGCATCGTGGTAAGCAGTCGCGATCCTGGAAGGCACGACTGCACCACCCCCGTTCTGTCATTCGAGATTGGTCCCCCGTGCGCGACGAGGGAAGGACGAGACGGGGTGGCGGTGATTAGTGTGTTCAGACACGCCACAAGTTTTACGAGGTGGCATAAATAACCTGGTTAGTGCTTCGTGATGCGGTGTCAACGGAAAGGCGACTCCACCCTCTCGCAAGCTGCCGGCTCTCCGGTAATCGTCGTAATCGTCGCGCTGGGGGGTCGCGGTGGCGTGACACCTGCCTATCGTACCCTCATGGCGTATACACTCGAGATCACGTACCTTTCTTTCTTTTCCTTCTCGCTCCCCCTCTTAGTATATTTATGATTTTTTTTTCCTACTCTTCGTGGTAAATCACGCGTGTACGCGGACATCGTGAGCGAGACGAATGGACCATGCACGTGTATCACGACACTCCCCGTGGAATATCCGTGTATATAAGATACCGCGTCCCTCTTCTTTCCTCCCCGTTTACGTCAGAGCTCTCAAATAACTCTTTGGAAGATCATTTCACACACAGCCCGAGCATTACCCTTTAATTACAGAAAGTGGCTCAATTTACGGTGGACGATTTATTTTGATTCAAGGATTGCAAAGGTATCACGCGAGTAATTATTCACAGTCGTTGATGCCGCGATAGAAAGAGATCGTGAGAGAATTATGGTTTCGAGCTATCTAACAGGATTTCTATTACTGTAATTTAATTAGAGTTAGGTATATTTGTACTAAACAATTTTTATTTACGTACCCCAACGAATGTAAACAATCAATGTGAATTTATTTTTACGTAATTAATTCGATACTTTTTGTATAGAATTAATTGCAGTGCATATATTTTTTTAAAGAATCTATTCAATAAACTTTCCATCGTAAATATGGGAGCCGTTAAAGCCCCTTCGGAAGCTCTTTCGGAAGGATAGACAAATGACGAATGGCATTTCCGATTTTCTTCAGCAGGCACGCAAGCTTTTTCATACTGATGAACGCTCTCGCTTTGGCATTCGTTCTAATTGACGGTAACTTAATGACGATGCGGTTGAATCGAGGACGCGCTGTTGAGGGTGGTTTCGAGACGAGACGCCGTTTGCCTCGTAATCGCTTCTCGAGGGTGGCGATGACGTGACATCTATCCGTCGCGTACAACCTGCCAGGGAATAAAACGTGTTTTCACCGTTCTACCTACGCGACGGGTAGTAATTGACAGAAGTGCCTCGTTCTCTCGTCAAAAAGCTACCCTTTTCTTTCATTGCCGCGCCGCCCTTTTCTCCCACGATAAATCAACTGCGTCCGGGCTAAACGCGTTCACGTCTCTCGGAATTGCTCTTCGAACTCTCGTCCGGTAGAGAGAAATGGTCGATATCGCTAAACAAATCTAGATTGATTTGTGGTGTGCTGCAAATGTATTTTATGACGCGAGACAAGAGTTATGGTGAGGCAAGAGTAGAATTAAAACAGAAAGTATCAATAACGTCAATTCCAACGAATCATAAAAATAGTCGCGTAGCAATCAATAAAGCTAAAGTAATAAAATTTCTTCTTCTTTTTCTTTTTCGTATAGTAATCAATTAATTTGATTACAGGAAAAATAATATATTTCTTTGGTAACATTACTACATTTGACAAAACAGTAACGAAAAGGTAGTAGTAAATATATTCTTTGTCCAACTATGCACTGAAAAAAATTTAATGAATTTTAATAAAATTTTATTTAAAAAGAACTGATGAAACGTTTATTTGTAGTAAATAAATATGTACTCAACACAAAATTCTCACCAAACAAATATTTACATTTAGTAAATATTTAGATAATAACTATTCAAACAAATGTTTATTATTTGATAACTTTTTTCAGTAGAAAAATACAATACAATGTGTTTTAAAAGAGAATTTCATTTCACGTCATATCAATCGAATTTAGAATTGTCTACTACTAACATCTCTAGTATTACATGTTTTTTCGATGAAAATTCGCGGAATAAATTGCAGATTTTGATCCTCCCCGTTCGATAGCGTTCGAAAAAGAGAGAAAGAATGACAGAATAGCGTAGGGTGAGACTCGAGTGATTTCCTGCAGCTGTAAGCGTTTGCTTAATATCTAGTCTCGGATTCCCGTAATAGCGTAAAAATGTTTGCTCAAGAGGCGTCCGTTCCTCTCGTCGTGTGCGCCCTTCTCGAATCCAGAAAGAACAGAATCATGGGCGCCGACATGGTTTCAGCGAGAGTGGCGCATGAGAAAAGTTTTCTTAGAAGGAGCTCAGAAACTTTCCTGCTTATATTTATCAATTAAAAAGACACTATAAGCAATATTAACTTCCGACATGCATGTTTCATTTCCCAATGAATTTTCGTACTTTACTCATTAAAACGACTTTGCGGGGTTCACCAACCCCTTCGGCGTGTACCTAATGAGTTTATCGCAGGTAGTTTGCATTCCTAAGGCTAGTTACAAGTTTCTCCGTTAAATTTTTCACGCCGACTTGATCCTCCTGGTCTGAAACAGTCAAGGGGATGGCAGCGCGTCCCGGTCGCGCTTCCCTGCGACGCGACGCCCATGAACGCGGAGAGATCGCGTGAATTGCGATCCATCAAACTTCTTCTGTATTTTCCGCGTGTCTCGTGCACGGGAGTGTACAAGAGTGCACATGTGAACTGAGCGTACACGCGTGTTTCTGTGTACAAAGAGCAAACTTCGATTCTGAAGAGACGACGACGACGAGAGGCGACGTGCGCCACCGCCATTGTTGCTGTCGATGAAAAGGAAGTCGTATAACACGAGGGAATCCTATCGTCCGACACCAGGAAGGAAACGCCCGTGGCTTTTAAAGGGACGAGGGCGTTTTCCACCCACCAGCCTGGTCTCCCCCGCCCTCGATTTATACCGAAATTATGCCGCGATTTTGTATTATCGGATAGCGCGGGGGAGAATATTAAAGGACGAAGCCAGGCTGATTTATCCCGGAATTATTCCCGGCTCGTATTATTCGCGTCCTTGTGTTATTCCAGTGAGCGAGCTCGCTGGTTGATTCGGCTGGATGCGCGTGAGCGATGAAAAATGTGCGGCCATGCGAAAAGTACGATGATAAACGCGGCATGAAGCGTACAGAAAAGGGTCAACGCCGCCGATCGCGGCTTCGGTGATTAATCGTGGCGCCAGGATTTTTGAGATAGGTTTCAATATCGCGGATCAGCCGAGCGTATGTCGTGAGCACTAATAAGTTTAGACATGATATTTCTTATCGATTCTTGACACGCACTGCTACGTTTTTGTCTGAAAGTTATATATAATTTATAGAGCAAGTATTAACTTGCATTACACTTCCATTACTCACGCGATATAATGTATAAGCAAGCTGAAAAAAAAGTTTTAGTAACTATAAAATTCCACGCATTTAATAAAAAGATGAAATCAATTGAATATTTTATTCATTTTAGATAAATATAAATTAAAATAAATTATACTTTAGATTTCAATCCGTGTTCAAGCAATCTATTGTCGTTAAAAGCGTTCGTTCTTTGATCATATCGAAAATTCATCCGATCCGTTATTTTAGAAGGTTTAACAACGTTACTTTCATTATCATAATAGCGAATTCACCGCGTACGCGCGTATTGAATATTATTTTTAAATCGTGAGAAAACACGTTAAGTAAATACACCGTAGTTATGTGTCGCATACATTTCCGTATAACTAAAAGTACACGGCTTCAACCGATATCCATTGGTGCATAAGCCACGAAATTAGTCACGTGTCGCTAAGCATTCGAAGCAACGATCGTGTAATTTTTATGGGAATTTTTTGATCGATCTTTTACACGATTGAACCCGTACGGTTTTCCCTCGTATCGTATCGGATGGTTGATTAAAACAGGGCATTTTCATGTCGTTTCGCGTAGATATATCTGCTTTCATTTTAAATTTAAATATGGCAGAGCAACAGTATTCTTCGTTAATCATGCAGTTCTAAATTATAAATTAAAATCTCATTCACTACAGAACATAATAATGACAATTTGATCAGATTTCACATACTATATATATGAAATCTGATCAAATTGTAAAATTTCATAAGATCACAATCATAAATATAATATCTTAATAAGCTAATATTAAAAAAGTATTCAGAATACAAGGCAATTTTTTTATCTTACATAATACATACGTAAGATATTTT